ATTTAATTTGTTTGATTAAATTTAGGGAGTGATACCTATTTGTGAAAAATTAAAACAAACACTGCTAAAAACAAACGTCTTTCATTTCTTGGGTCAAATTCGGCCTAATGACAGTTGTGAGCTGGGCTTAGTCTCAATTTTTGCGGAGGTGAGCTCAGCCCCAATTAATCAAGCAAAAACAACAACAGGCCTGGAAATTTCCAAGACCTCTACCACGGGATGGGCCGGCATCATCCAATTGGTTTTTTAGGAAGAAAATGTAGCGGGAATAACCGGAGTGGAGTTCCTTATCCCGATCCGTTAAGCTTCTCCCAACACTGGTACGGGGGAGGAAAGTTGCAGTCTTTGAATTTCACCTTCATTCCCATGGCAGCTATACCCTCATTCTCTCAAAATCCTCCACACAGAACCTTACTCTCTCTTCACTCCTCATTCAAGGGACATTCGTTTTCTCTCTGTTTATACTACTTCATCCGTTTCATATTGGGTATATATACCTCCATTGTTACACTCACCAAATTTCCTTACATTACAGGGAAATACTAGAACTTCAAGGCCGAACCCATGTCAAATTCTCCCCCTCAAAGTCACAGTTAGAGGCGAACCACAGCAATATCAAGGACAGACAGCATGAGCCTTGGTGGTTGTTAATCAAATGCTGGCTTCCCAAGTTGCTGGCACAATGTTTACTACTAGGTAGCGGCTGGACAATCTGGGGCCACAGCCGGGGTCGAGAAAGAAGGGGAAGAGAAAGGGAAGAGTTATATTAGCCGGCCAAGGGAACAGCTGTGGGTTTGGAATGAGGGGCCAGAAATCAAGGTCTGGTCCTGGCGTTAGAAGGGGTTTGAGGGTGGCCAGATGCCTCTTTATCGTTGTATCCCCAAATTGAGGGGGATTGCTGGAGGTATTTCTTTGCTTTTTTAGGCTAGTTTTTTTTTGTTTTTTAGGTATATAGATGATTTTGGGTTATTTGAATTTTATTCCAGTGTATCCTGTGTGCATTGTGTCTGCTTGAGAAAATGACTCATTTC